ATATTTTTGAGCTCGAAGAGCTCAAAAACATTGTAATATGTTGAATTAAGCGCTTAGGTACAGAATTGGCGGGAAGTTGCAGGGATGGCCCTTAGGGTCAACCGTTTTCCACATTTTTTTTTTAATGAAATGAAAAATTAATTTTCTGCTATCCTGCAGTATAGTTTAGAGGTTAGGTGCAGTTAGAAGCATGAATAAATTAGTCTCTTAACTAACTAAAATTATAACTCAAAAGCTATGAATTTTTTTTTTTTTTTCATGTACTTGTTTCAAGTCGCATAAACTACTAAGGTCTTGAGCGATTACTGTAGGGAGTAAACTTTTTGTGATTGGACTCGTTTTATTTGGGCTGAGCGGAATAATGCACTTAAATATTGAGAAATATTCATTGGTGTACGCCAGGCTCGAACCCGGTCCAATGCTTTAGTAAGCAAGAACCGGATCCGATAGGCTACTGCGCGTCTCATGAATTTTATTTAAATTTTATAAAAATTACTATCGTTTTAAAATTATTCAAATTAATGAAAAAAGTTAATTCATTCCTGAAAAGAATTTCGTTATACAATTAGAAGCTGGATTTTTAGGATACTTTTGGAAATTAAGGAGACCCAGTGGTCTAGCGGCCTAAAATTTAAGCTATTTTTCAAAATTTTATTTCTATATGAAGGTAATGACTAATGCTTTCAAATTTTTTTTACATTTATTCTATTACTTATCAACTACACAAAAATGAAAATCACAATAAAAAAAAAATTTTTTTTAAATTAGAAAAATGGCGCTGAATTCCCCCTCTCCAAAAAAAATGGACCTGACTGGTGCGTGTATATTGATCTGTCCCTCTGATCTGAAATTAAAAAAAATGACTGATTTTTAATTAGTATAAGTATAGTTATCGCCGGAACTAGAATGAAAAAAAAAAAAATATTTGACAAAATGGCGCGTAGTTAAAAATACGAATCTGAAACTCTTTTTCAAAAAATACTATTAACTACGCGCCATTTTGTCAAATATTTTTTTTTTTTCATTCTAGTTCCGGCGATAACTATACTTATACTAATTAAAAATCAGTCATAAAAATATTTGACAAAATGGCGCGTAGTTAATAGTATTTTTTGAAAACTCTTTTTCAAAAAATACTATTAACTACGCGCCATTTTGTCAAATATTTTTTTTTTTATTCTAGTTCCGACGATAACTACACTTATACTCACTAAAAATCTGTCATTTTTTTTTTATTTCAGATCAGAGAGAGAGAGATCAGGTAACACGCACCAGTCAGGTCCATTTTTTTTTGGAGAGAAGGGACTTCAGCGTCATTTTTCGAATTTAAAAAAAAATTTTTTTTGTTTTGATTTTCATTTTTTTGTAGTTGATAAGTAATAGAATAAGTGTAAAAAAAATTTGAAAACATTAGTCATAATCTTCATATAGAAATAAAATTTTTAAAATAGCTTAAATTTTAGGCCGCTAGACCACCGGGTCCCCTTAATTTAAAATTTTCAAGCATCATTTTTGAAATATGCTCTCAATAGTAAATTGTGATTAATTTTGGTATCTATCTCTCCACGATATCTTTTGTGGTAGCTATTTAAAGACATGGAGATATAATAAGTAATGATTGAACGTATGATGAATGGGTTGACGTTCAGTTTAGCGGACTAATTTGTGGTTTATGTTACAGAGTCAATTCCGGTTTGACAACGAGTGCTACCTGAATCTACCCGACAATCACAAAAGGGTGAGTGATGAGCTGGATAATTCGAGCATGGTCGACCAAAGTATGCAAACTGTAAGCATTTATTATTTCTTTCATTTATTTATTTATAATTTTTTGTTGATTTAATTTTAATTTTATATCAATAAATATCGATTTATTAATAAAAGGCGAGAGGTAATAACTTAAATATTAATCTGGAGAAGCTTATTTTTAACCCGTAGCTTGAGAGTATGGATTTTTTTCGTTTTATTATTTCGATTCTAGTTAGCATGAATACCCATCAGAGGGAGAAAATAATAGACAAATTATTTTCCATTGCTTGTTTTGTGTATTTACAGGTGGGTTTGTGTACTTTAAATATAGAAACTTTGTATTTTGTTTTTGTTTTATAACTGTTCTGTATTTGGTTCGTTGTTAAAAACTTTTATTTTTAGTTTTTTTGTTTGGTTAAGTTACATGCACTATTGGTATAATATTAGTTTAGTAGAGGTTAGAGTTAGTATAGGTTAGTATGTCTAGTTATTTTTGTGTAAATGGACTCGCTCAAATTTACTCAGCTCTTGGGAGATCTTAGCAGATCTTGTACCAAAAACTAAAAGTGACTACATTCTCGCTAAAGAATATCTATAAGAAAACAATGCAAGGTATATTAATCTAAGCTCAGTCCAGCTAAGAACTTAGTAAACGTGAACGAGCCCAATGTTTGTTTGAAGAATAAGGAAGACAAGTTTTAATTGATCGATACAAATACAATTAAAGACAAAGAATATAACTATGTATTTTTTTTTTATTCCACCAAGTTTTAATTATATTTTATTATTAATAATAACTAGCAATTTATAGTCACTAGTTGATTACCGAAAATCACGAAGTATGAATTAAAAAACTCTGACTCAATAATTTTTTGCTTTCATCACAATATTCATAGTTTGGATACTTTTGAAATAAATTTGAAAGATAATATTGCTATTATAAGATCAATTACCAATAATTTAATGAAAATGTCAAGAATCAAACTTATAGAACACCAATTAATAAACTATTCAAAACTACTTCAAAAAAATTAGCTATCACCAAAAAATATGTAAAATCATAAAAACGCACGAATTCAGGTCAAGACCTTCTTGACTATACCAAATTTCATTACAAAAACCCATTTTATAATAAAGATATTACCGTCACAAAATTTTCCTCATTTTTGTAATTATTTATTTTTTTCTTTACTTATTTATTTTATTTAAATGCCAAGACAAAAATCGAATGACAATAACATAGAAAATTTAGAATAAAAGTACACGTATACATACAAAGTATAAAGATTGTAGTAATTTGTAATATTCTAATATTTAAATAGATAAATAATAGAAAGAAATCAACAATTTTATTATTTAAGTTGAAACAGGATCTACGAACAAGATTTCTTAGATGCTTCAAAATTTTTTCAGGATTTTCCAGCTCAGAGTTTACCGTCTACCTCAAGATTCATAAAAAAATTGAAAGCTTTAGTTTCGGAAATTTCTAGACTATGTGGTTTATTGATCTCGATCGGTAATTCTCGCGAGACAAAATAAATAAACAAATTTTTTCATGCGTGAAAAACCTAATCTATTTTCAATTACTCCGAAAATTTATCATAATAAATTATTAGCTATCGCTAAAAAGCATGTGAAATTTTTAAAAGACACAAATTAAGGTCAAGACTTTTCTAATTATACTAAATTTAACTAAAAAACCCATTTTATCATATTAATACTGTGAAGAAAAAATTTTCCTTATCCTTTTAATTACATAAATTAATTAAGTTCTCAATTCATAAGTTTTTTGGTAATAGATCGAGAAATAGATATATTTATTTAATCCTAAAGTCGTAGCTCCTTTAGGACCATCAATCATAAATTCATAATTTTATACAATACCGTGCTTGATATTGTGACAATAGTGATAATATGTCATAATGTTCTTAATAATAGGTTTTTACAATAGAGTTCTAATGTATATTAATTATTTTAATTATTTACTATGATTACGAATTGTTAAGACCAACAGTAGCAGTAGTAATAGTAGATTACAATCCCAATAATTAATTAAATTGATATTATTCCTATGAATGTAGGGGAACAAGAAGGTTAATCAATAAACCTTATTGTTATTGTATTACGCAACTTTATGCAGATACATTTCTGCTTTCTCATAGGCGATCTATGAAAATACCATTAACAATTATTAGAATTTTTTTACAGTAAAATTAATGATTCTAAGAGCTGACACTTACAATAATACATATCTTATTTTTGTAGCAATAGTAAACATTTCAATTTTTATTTTCCGAGAAAAAATAGAAGCAATTGTTTTTAAATTCTAGCTACTTTAATTAAACACCTTATTAATTATTGAAAATATTGAGTACTTAATAACTTTTATAGTTTGTGAAGCTTTTGATAATAATAGAAAATTTATAATTTAGCAAATACTGCTTTTGCCTAGAAAGCGATGATTGAAGTTTCAAACCCTTTTGAAGTCAAGGGATACGCAAATACTTTTGTAATAGAACTTCTATGGCTACTCAATGAATTGCCCGTATAATTAATTTAAACTACTAGCAATGTTATTTATACATAACAATTGAAAATTCTTGTTCTTTTTAACAATCAAACAAGTTCTACATTGAATATCAAATTTAGTTGAATCAATGACTATTTCTAATTCTAGTTTATTAAAAAAGTTTCTTTTGATAAAAAACTTGTCAAACTTATCCTTCAATCATTTTTTTTTTTCAACTCTTTAATATTTTTAACTCAACTCAAAGACTAATAATCAATAATTAAAAATGTTAGGTACTGTACGATGGCAAGCTGTCCAATGCAATTGTGTTCATGTACAATCCAGTGGCGACAGACTCTCAATTATGTTTACAAAGCGCGCCAAAGGGTAACGTCTCATACTTTGTCCATACACCACACGCGCTCATGTTGCAGGTATTATTTTTTTTTTTTTTTTCAATTTTTATCAATATTTTTACTTTTATTATATTTGAAAGTAATTCTACACGAAATTTGAAATTAATTAAATTTGTTCCAGGATGTTAAGGCTGTTATAACACATTCCATACACAGTACATTGAATTCCATCGGCGGAATCCAAGTATTATTCCCATTATTTTCACAATTAGACATGTCATATGACTGCATCGCGCCCAATGATATCAAACGCGATCCAATGTTATGGTAAATTATTTTTTATCTAATAATAATAATGTTTAATTAATAATAATGCACTGTAAAAAAATGAAAGTGAATTTTTGTTCCCATAATTCGGAGTACCGGAGTGAAGAAATAAAATTTTTTACGTACGGAGTAAATCTGGAGTTTTTTTTTCAGCGGAGTGAATATGATTTTTAATCCGAAAAATATCCTATAACGAAATTTTTAGACTAAATTTAATTTTAATTAGTTGAAATAAGTTTCATATCCCAAATCACTAACAAACACTTCAAAAAATTTATGCCAAGATTAACTTTGTAAATATTAATTATATTTTTCCAAGCAATTTGATTTTGCAACATTGAACCAAATTATCATAAAGATTATTTTATTTTCAAGTTTTATTGATAAATTTGGGCGTAAAAAGTAAAAAATAACAAATTATAAACATTACTACGTTTAATTACATAAAATTAATAACTTTAACGTTACTTATATTAACTTTTACAAGAGAATTTTGAAAACTTCTTAACAAATAATTATTATAAATAGAATATATCAAAAAATGATACTTATAAAAATTAGAAAAAATCTTGATTCAATTTTTTTTAAATATTAATATTTATTTGTTTTGTCAAACTAAGAAAAAAAGTTATATTAATTTTAAAAATCTTTAAGTACGCATTTTGTAATCTTTAAACAAATAACTATTTTTTCGAAATTTTATTCAATAAATAAAAAATAATGAATTCGCTCCGCTGATTTTTTTTTCATTATTAATGTAAATAAAATCCTACTTTATGTAAATTTCACTCCGGAGAAATTAAATCAGTTAAAAATCATCAATAAAATAATTTATTTTTGTTTACAGTTCAAAACTATTAGGATTTATTTGCGACTTGGTAGAAACTTCGCAGACTGTGCAACAACACATGGTACAAAATCGTGGCTTTTTAGTCATCAGTTTCATGTTACAACGTGCGAGCCGTGAGCATCTAACGACAGAAGTTCTCGCATCTTTTTTGGAACTCACTAAGCATCTTGTTACTTGTCTCAGTGCTAACAGTGATTTACTATTAAAGCAGGTATAATTATCATCAATTTTTACCGAATCTCGTATACAATAATTGAAACTGGATCGTAAATAATTCACATTTGAAAATTTTCAGCTTTCAAAAATTCTTATTATATATTTCTGTAGCATGATTTATTTTTTAATTACGTAAATAATATATATGTATATAACATTATAATTTGTAAAATTTGAAAGCTGCATATTGAAAATTTAATTTAATCTGCACTTGCACTCGCAAGTTTATTTATCTTAATCATTTTTATATCTCAATTAATTAATTAATTAATTAATTAACAATAAGCATGATCAAGCATTTGTTCACGTTTTTTTTTTTTTTTTTCACACTTTGGACCGCATGTAATCTACCGACTTGAAAGCTTTTTTTAAATCACATTATATTTTTTTTTACCAATTATTATTAATTACAGCAGTACCCTCGCTTTGCTAAGTGTCAATTTTTTAAATTTATTTTTTTAAAAATTTAATTTAAAATATTTTAATCTTCTCAAAACTTTTGCTACAAATTCTATGTTTAATTACAATTAAATTTTGAAGTCTTAAAAATATATAATTTTTAAAAATTGAGGGTCAACAATATTACTTTATTTATTTTAAACCGGCACTTTGCATGTATCACTTGCAACAGCTTATAAATAGCACAAGTGTCTTTGATAAAAAAAAAAAAAATTCTTCTGACAATTTAAATTAACAAATAAAATAATTACTGAGTGTCAATTATATTATATTTGTTAATAAAATAGTATTTAAATAAACTAAAAGTCGGCTAGATTGGCGTGTCCGAAGAACAGGCAGACCTATGGTAATATAGATGTTTTACTTTTCATTCCTGACATGGCAGTTACTGGACCACGTGCTCTTCAACCCTGCTCTGTGGATTTATACCCCCGCTCCAGTACAAACGAGGCTTTATTCTTATCTGGCTACTGAATTCCTCAGTGACACGCAAATTTACTCTAACGTACGTCGCGTGTCTACAGTTCTTCAAACTGTTCATACCCTCAAGTATTACTACTGGGTCGCTAATCCACGAGCTAAGAGTGGAATAACTCCCAAGGGTCTAGGTAAATGTTAATCAATAATTAAAAACAATTATTTCTAAATAAATAAATAAATAAATAAATAAATAAATAAATAGATAAATAATTAACATAAAATTTACAGATGGACCACGTCCGCAGCAGAAAGACATTCTGACAATTCGCTCATACATTCTGTTGTTCCTCAAGCAACTAATAATGATAGGAAACGGTGTGAAAGACGACGAGCTGCAATCGATTCTAAACTACCTGACAACAATGCACGAGGACGAGAACCTCCACGACGTGCTTCAGATGCTGATATCCTTAACATCAGAGCACCCGTCCTCAATGGTACCCGCATTTGACTCAAAACAAGGAGTCCGAACAATTTTCAAGCTGTTGGCTGCTGAAAGCCAATTGATCCGTCTACAAGCTCTCAAACTCCTTGGATTTTTTCTCTCTCGCAGTACTCACAAGCGCAAGTATGATGTAATGAGTCCACATAACCTCTATACGCTTCTTTCCGAGCGACTGTTGTTAAACGAAGAAACCCTGCTTCTACCAACCTACAACGTGCTCTATGAAATAATGACCGAACATATAAGTCAGCATATTCTCTACACTCGTCATCCGGAACCAGAATCGCACTATCGACTGGAGAACCCGATGATTTTAAAAGTTGTCGCTACGCTTATTCGTCAGTCCAAACAAACGGAACAATTATTGGAGGTTAAGAAGCTGTTCCTATCAGACATGACTCTTCTCTGCAACAACAACAGAGAGAATCGTCGCACTGTTTTACAGATGTCTGTCTGGCAAGAATGGTTGATTGCCATGGCGTACATACACCCGAAAAACACTGAAGAGCAGAAAATATCAGACATGGTTTACTCGTTGTTTAGAATGCTGCTTCATCATGCAATAAAGCACGAGTATGGAGGTTGGCGTGTCTGGGTTGACACTTTGGCTATTGTACATTCTAAAGTTTCTTATGAAGAGTTTAAGCTCCAGTTTGCTCAGATGTACGAGCACTATGAGAGACAGAGGTCGGATAATATCACAGACCCAGAAGTCAGACAGCAGAGACCTATTAGCACTATTTCTGGGTGGGATCAACAGCACGCGACTAGCAATGGTAATGCTATCAATGGTAATGGAGCTATTGAAAATGGTGATGAAGGGTATAGAAATTGGAATGAGGATCATGCTATTGAGAGGAATTATAAGGAGTATGATGCCATTGAGGTTAATGAAGTTGAGTCTAATGAAAGATTGGAAGAAACTTGTAGTTGTGATTTAAATTCTATTGATAATACGGAAGATAGTGAGGGAAGTCCATCGATTGCTGTCAAGTCCAGAGATGTTGTCTCCATTGATTCCAGGCTCAGTGAGATGGAGAAGATTGATAGTTGTGTTATTGGTAATCATGTGGGAGAAGATGAGTGTGATAAGGAGGAGGAAGAGGAGGAAGAAAAGGAAAAGGTGGTGGAAGGGAAGGAAGATGAAGGTGGTTTGGAGGTTAAGATTGAGGAGATTGTTGAGGATAAGGTCGAAGAAGAGAAGGATGATAAGAAGATAGATTGTAAGGAAAGTGAAAAAGATGTTGTAGGAGTTGAGGAAGTAGTTGAAGAAGTTGGAGAAAAAATTGAAGGAGTTCCGGAGGAAATAAAAGAGGCTGAGGAAATTAAAGTAGAGGCTGAAGAAGTTGAAGAAATTGAAGTTAAAAAAGTTGAAGTTGAAGATGATATTGATAATAAAAATATTAAAAATGATGACAATCAAACAGATGTAATTGATAGTAAAAATATTGATAATGATAATGCTAAAGATAATGAAGATGTAAAAGAAAAAATTGAGGAGAATTTAGTTGAAGAAGAGAAAGAAATTAATAAAATAAATGTAAGTAATGTAATAGAAGAAATTGATGTAGAAAAGAATGAAATTAAAGAGCAAGAATCAAATGAGGTGGCATTAAAAGTAGAAAATAATGAAGTTGCTGATGAAGAAAAAAAAGAAATTAGTGATTTTAAAGAGAGTAATGATGTGGTTGATTCGATTGATAATGTAAATAAGGATGTTGATGAAAATAAAGAAGAAGATGTTAAAGAAAATAAAGTGGATGTAGTGGATAAAAGTAATGATGGAGACAAAGCAGAGGAAAGCAAAGAACAACAGGAAGAAGAAAAAGAAGAAATTAAAGATGAAGAAATAGTAGTGACAGAAACTGATAATGAAGCTGATAAAGAAGATTTAGTGGATAAAACCGACAAGACTGAAAAAGTCGATGACACATTCGATGATACTTTGGGTTCTAAAAGTATCGATTGCTCAACTAGCGTAATTAAAAGCACTGACGATTGTACGAGTGTAAAAAGTGACGGAGAAAATAAATTAAAAGGTGATGTAATAAATGGTGAGAGTGGAGAGGATAAAATTGAGGAAGAAAAGGAGGAGGAAAAAGAGGAAGAAAAGGAAGAAAATGATGTGAAAGAAGTTGAGGGTGAAGGTGATCAAGTAGAGGTGAAGGAAGTGGAAAAAGAAGACCAAGATAAACAAGAAGAAGGAGAAGTGAAGAAGGAGGAGGAGGAGAAAGCGGTGGAGGAAAAAAATAAATATAAAGAAGAAGTGGAGACGAGTAAGGGAGAACATTCAAGCGAACCGTCCAATATTTCTACTAGTATAAGTGAAACAATCGTACCAGTAAACGAGGATGTAGAAATAAATGATATTAATAATAGTAAAAATGTTAATATGAATACAGTTAAAGTAGATGATGATAATATGCAAGTGCCAAATACTACACAAACAGAACTTCAACAACAAATACCAACAATATCAACGGTCTGTGATGCTACTAAAAGTTTATCCGATGGTGTGCCTCAAGTTATTTCTAGTGTGCTCGCAATGGACAATCCTCTGAATTCAAGTGTCAATGATGTACAGTTAAGTACTATAACTGCTGATGTTGCTGTCGACCATGAGCACGTTGATCCGCATCGCAGGTCTAGTCTACCGAATGTGACAACCTCTGAAGCTGATACTGACCCAAGTTGTGCTGGTGTCAGTGCTAATGCTGATAAGCCTATTGTTCTTAACGGTGATACTAAACGAACGGTTAATATGCCCAGTAAAAAAATTTCTTCACCACAAAAAAGACCACGCAGTGCCTCGACTTCCACTCAAGTAGATCCCAATCATTTTGGTGAGTATCTTTTATCTTTTATTAATTATTAATTATAAATTATTAGCTGCTTAATTTTATTTATTAATCAATATTTGTTTGATGCAGAATCTAAAAGAGCAAAACAAGGTAATGGAACTAATCGGCCGATGTTCAGTCCAGGACCAAGCCGACCGCCATTCAGGATACCCGAATTTAAATGGTCTTACATACATCAGAGATTGCTGTCTGATGTTCTATTTTCACTTGAGACGGATATTCAAGTTTGGCGAAGGTTTTTATTTATTTTTTATCACTTATTGATTTTATTATATTATATTATTAATTAATTAATTTATATTACAGTCATTCAACAAAATCAGTATTGGATTTTGTGAATAGCAGTGAAAATGCAATTTTTGTGGTGAATACCGTGCATTTAATTTCACAATTGGCGGATAATTTAATAATTGCCTGCGGCGGGTTATTGCCATTATTGGCGTCAGCAACATCACCGAATGTAATTCAATAAAACTTTAGTTGATTTATTCAATTAACCAGTGGTGACTATAAATTAATAACACTTATGTTATTTCAGAGTGAACTTGATGTAATTGAGCCAACACAAGGTATGCCAATCGAGGTAGCAGTGTCATTCCTTCAAAGGCTAGTTAATATGGCCGATGTTTTGATATTCGCAAGTTCACTTAATTTCGGCGAGCTTGAAGCCGAAAAAAATATGTCAAGTGGTGGAATTTTGCGACAGTGTTTACGTCTGGTATTTATATATTTATTATATCATAATTATCCTTGAAAATTTTTGTCGACAGTAATAATTCCAAGATTAATCCAAATTTAAATATTTATTTTCAATCGATAATTGAATAGTCATATAGATCGAGTAATAGTCGAGTAATTGCATGTCATAAATTTATTTATTTATTTCTTTATTAGAAGACAAGTGTACATTTAGATAAGTAACAACGCTAGAATTATTTAAAATGGTAAAAAAAATAAAAGAAGGGTATTCTAATGAATAAATTAAACATACACGTACTACAAATATTTACGAGTATATATACATGCTTGTTTAGGTCTGTACTTGTGCTGTTAGAAACTGCTTAGAGTGTAAAGAGCGTGGCAGAACTTACAGCATGTTAGGTCGTCAAATCGGTACTAGTAATAAATCACAGCACTTACAATCTCTTATACGTGGAGCACAGACATCACCGAAGGTATGTATTTGTTTTATTAGTCTTAATTATTTAACTAGAATATTTTTTTTTTTTTAATAAACTATTATTGTGTGTAGAATTTATTTATAGAATTTGTTTATAGAAGTTAAACGTTGTAGTAAAATTCTTTATTAAACTTAGTAATTCATTTGTATATTAACAATAAAAAATAATTACAGAACTAGTGATAAATGTTTCACAATTACGGTGGTTGATGAAATTTATTTATGATAATAAAAGTCATCGTATTTTAGATGGATAGATGAAATAATAAATGTTTAGCCATCAGTAATTACAAAAAAATATTATTACCAAATAATAGTAATAGTATTTTCCAAATTTTTTTAATCCAATTTATTGAGTTAAAAATTTTTACAATAACATAAATTTAAATAAAACTATTTACATACTAAAAATTTTTAATTAATTAATTAATTTTTTTTATAGAACATTGTAGATAATTTAACAAATCAATTGAGTCCAGTAAAAGATCCCGAAAAACTACTACAGGACATGGATGTGAATCGTTTGAGAGCTGTTATTTACAGAGATGTTGTAAGTAACTGAATATTTAAATACCTTTTCCGTAATTAATTGGTTGATTAATTAATCAGAAAATATTTACTAATTACAGGAAGAAACTAAACAGGCACAGTTTCTGTCTCTGGCGATAGTTTACTTCATCTCTGTACTAATGGTATCTAAATATCGCGACATTCTCGAGCCACCGATTTCACAACGTCCACCAAGTCCTGTTCAAACAATCCAGACCAATGGAGCTAATATTCGCCCGGCGAGCCCTACAGGTAATTCTATTAAATAAACAAAAGCTTTTGATATTACAAACAACACTATCAATTAATTTTATAAATTATAAACTTATAATATAAAATAGCAAGAACTCGAGATAGCAATGACTAATAATTGGCTAATCATGCTTTAAAAAGTTATTAATACACCACTTACTCGTTATCATATTCATTACAAAGTATGTCTAATTTTCCAAAACTCTTATATGTCAGATGTATATAAAACTATTATTTTTATGTTTTTTTTTCTTAACTATGAATCAAAATTAATAAATAATTATATTAATAAAAATAAAAAGATAAATGATAAATGAGAAAATACTTTCAAGTTTGTTTCGACTTCTTGTCTTGAAAAGTTAAACGCATGATTCTTGATTATATGAAGCATGAATTTTATTCATTATAATACTAAAAAAAAAATAATTAATTTTGAGAGTATTAAAATTGTATAAAACAACAAAAATAATAATTATAAAAAATAATAGCTTCATATTTGAATAATAAAATAAATTATTGCATAGAACTAGAAGCTAAATAAATAAAACGAAACGTAATTTATAAATTTACCACCTTGTAGATAAGCATGTGTGGTTGCACTCGTATAGTCGTAACTTTATTTACTTATTTATTATTATTATTATTATTATTATTATTATTATTATTATTGTATAGTTTATTATGATTTATTTATTTATTTATATATCGTTTATTTACTTTATTGTATGTATCTGACAGTAAGAGTTTTGATGTTTGTCAATTTGTTTGCACAATTTTAAACGTTTAAAATAATTCACACATTAACATTCATAGTTTTTAAAATTGTTTCATCAATCATTTTATTAATATTTATTATCAATAAAATAAACTTCCGATCCTGAATTTTAAAAATTAACTAAAATTAATCAAAATTGTTGTCCCATGAATAATTTTGTTTGAGCATAAAAAATGTTTGTTATATCAATTATCTAAAAGCAACTATCTAAGTAAATTAAAAAGGACATTTTTTATGACAAATGATTATGTAAAAAAAATATATTAATGATATGCAACCCCGAAATAAGTAAAAGTGTCTGGCGATTGGACAGAAGGGTGAAAAAAGGGTAATATAATAAAATTGTCATAGGAGACGGTAACGGTGGTGGAGGAGGTCGGCCTCTGTTTCCACAGTGGTCTCACCACGTGTATCCTCAGTTCCTTCCGGGTACTCACCCCAACGCCAATGCAAATCTAAACGCCAACCACCATCACATCAGCCAGCACCACCACCAGCACCCGCTACCACCACCGACTGCCAGGCACTCAAATCGCCAGAATCCCTCGAACTATTACATTCCGAACCATCATACTAATCATTACAATAACCATCATCACCATCATCCGAATAACAATTACAATAACTACCATCGTCACCACTACTACCACCATCATAACAATAATAATAATAATAACAATAACAACAATAACAATCACCATCACGCGCTTCAAAAGCATAACGAGCCCCGAAACCTTTATCATAGAAATTCAGGTGTCGGTCTGCAAGGTAATTCCATTGCTCCAACCTTAATTATTTTTCTTATTTGAGAAATTACTTTTACTTATTTGTTCATTTTTTTTTTTTTAATTCACGGAATGGTTTTGTCGAATGTCAGCACTTGTTTTTACCCTTTTCCCCCTTTGCCGTCAGAAATTTTTTTTTACAGCTTTTTTATTATTATTCAAGAATGGTTATTTATTATTGATTAAAATTATTTATTATTATTTTTATTTTTAGGTCTCCTGATTTCAAATAAATTTTTATTTATCTTTTTTTAGATTGGGCCATTCGCTTTGGTGGAAATATTTTTTCACTGTGTGTTAATTCCTTCATTTTTTGTAAAATTTGATTAACAAAAATTTTTGTTTTTTTATTCTTCAAACAAAAATTTATTTTCACAAAGCCGATTGATTGGATTGTTTTAAAATTGACATAACGAAGACGCGGAAGATTACATTTTATAATTAAATAAAAAGTGAAAAAGAATATTTTTTTTATTTTTTAGATTGTTTGCCTGTCATCGTAACTTTTGTTAGCATGAATACACATGTATTCACGTTATTCAAATCATCTGTTTATTTAGTTAGTACGAAAACGTGTAAATTTGTTAAAAACACTCCACGCTTGTGTTGCCGAACTTAATTGTTAAAAAAAACTCACACGGATTGTTAACTTAATCGAACGTGGAGTTTTTGTAATAAATTTATATGTTTTCATTTTACAGCATGTTTAGAGTTTAAAAACGTTATTTTAGGTTTTATTGATTTAATTAATTTATTGTATTGTATTGAATGAATAATTATTATCATTAACACTTTATATGTTTTATTGTAGAAAGCGGAGGAATAATGAGCCAATCTGGTTCCCAAGATGATGGAGAATATGAAGTTATTATTGTTGATGAAAATAATTCGAGCATACTTGCTGATCATGATGTCACTTCTTCTGGGCCACCATCAACGAAGGTAATCAGTTCATTAATTTTTTTAATTTATTTATTGAAAAATATTCAATGAAACACTGTAAAACAAATAATTTATTTACTTACTATAAAAATTTTTACAAGAAAAAAGTTGAAAATATAAATTTTGTTGTACAGTGTTAATTGAAAAAAATTCCTGCATTATTCTTTTTAAAATTAATAGAATAAAAATAATATGTTTACTATATTTAAAAAATTTAATAAATGATTTGAGAAATAAAACAAATATTTAATTAAATTAAAGTAAAAGAAGAAATAATATAAAAATTATCTAGGCACATTTAGCATGTGCACGAGACACACGCACGTATATTAATTATTATATATTATATATAACAATGACTACATATATAATTAATAATCGTAAAATGAAAAAATCTAATCTAAACTATTAAATATTTGAATTTGAATCGTAGAAGTGCTCTGCGATGTTGAGCATGTACATTGCTTATTACTTATTATTTGAATACCGATGTCTTGCATTTGATTCAACAATAATGTAAAACAGAACGTACTTTGAATAATATAATAATGTAACACTAGTATAACACTATGGTATTTTATATATATATATATATATATATATATATATATATATATATATATATATATA